ACAGCCTACAGATTGGACTTGACAGTTAATAAAGGAAAGGCCCAGCAATTCTCTGATGCCTTTTTGCCTTAATTAGATTGCGCATTCATAAGCTATGGGGAAATCTTCAATTTGAAGAGAAAGACCCCACAAGACAGGAATTCCCATCTCCACTCCTCCATCCATTCAGACTGCCAGTCCCTCAGCCGACAGTGGCCGAGACTTGTTGAGCGCCTTACGGCCTGTGCGCAGCACTGTGCTGACCGCCTTTGAGGAAAGCGGCTGCAAGAATTCCAAATGTCCACTCTGTGCTCTCCTGGAAGACAGTCTTCAGCCAGGCAGTTCAGGAGCACAGCTTCGCTTCAGACAGATCTGAGCCTGAATCCTGATTCTGCTGGGTGACCTTTGGCACGTTATTTAACCTCTCTGCCCTCCGTTTCCTCTTGGGGTTAATAATACCAACCGCCAAGAGCTGCTGTCAAGGCTAAGTGAGACCATCTGCGGGAGGCATTCAGCACAGAGCCTGCGCCGCCCGGCGCAGTGCCCAGGGCCCACCGGCCAGCCCTCAGGCGCCAGGCTCCTGCCCATCCCCTGGCTCTCGGCCAGTCACTAGGGAGCCTGTGATGACGTCCATGCTCTCTGCTTCCAATGACGTTGGAAACTGTGGACGATGCTCCTAGTTTCTTCATCTATAAAAAGGGGCAGTGGCAATAAGCCCCGAGAGGTTCTGGAGGGAGCACTGGTCCAGAAGCCTGTGAATGCTCTTCGCCCGAGGAAAGGACTGTGGGAATATCTGATTCCGGGAGCAGCCTATGGCTTGTCATCAGACGCCACTGCAGCCCTGCAGGCTGCTTTAATAATAGATATTTTTAAATTCCTGAGCCTACTTCATGCTATATTTGCTCACACACGGAGGTTTATTCAGTGTTAATCACATTAACGTGCTGTTTCATTTCACGCTGTGTGATGCCAACTTCAGCAAGAGCCAGGAGGGCACAGAATTTACTCTCAAAGGGTCCTCGTACTGCGTTCATCCAAAGGGCGCCTGTGAAGGCATCTCAGAGCCCCGGCGACCCCCGGCCCCCCTCACTCTCCCAGGGGTGCCCTGCGACCTAAGCAGCCTGCCTTTCAAGTGTCTCTCTGTATATATTGGTTTAGAAACCTCTTAGGCAAGTGTCTAATTTTTACCAGCCATCCTTAATTCTTAAACAACCCAAACACGGGCTATTCAGCAAAAGCTCCTCATCGGGTGACAGAAAGGGACCCTGAGCAAACAGGAGTTTGGAGGGTTTTTGAGGTCTCCCAGTTCAACCCCCTTACGTCACAGATGGAAAAAGTGAGCAGCATAAGCGTAAGGACTTAAACCTCTCCTTTCGGCTCCTTCCCTGAGCTGATGAATAATCTTCATTCAGATCTTAAACACAAAACAACAAATTCACCAGATTTTTCTTGGCCCTGTGCCCAAAACTGCTTGAACCTCCCACTTGCCCTCCCGGCCCTGTCAGCCAAGAGCCTGGGATCCTACTTCATGAAGAAAATGGAAGCCATTGGACAGGAACGCCCATCACCAGTGACCCTGCAGCCCAGCACACATCTCCGTGCAGGTCCCCTCGGGCCCAAGGCTGCCCTCCCTGCGCTCGGCCATCTGCCCGCTTCCCGAGGATTTGGCCGGGCACCTCTCCCCGCTTCTTACGTCACTACTTTCTCCCTTTCCACGGAACATTCCCGTCAACACACACCACACTCTCATTTTTAAAAATTTTATATGACCTCCGGCTACTCTCCTATTTCTCTTTGAAAACTTTCCTGTTGATGTTTCCACTTCCTCTTCACTTGCTGTTCATTCTCTTTCTTTTTTTTTAAGATTTTATTTTTCTGGTACATAGCTGTATATATATATATTTTTTAGTTATGGGTCCTTCTAGCTGTGACATGTGGGATGCCACCTCAGCGTGGCTTGATGAGCGGTGCCATGTCCATGCCCAAGATCCGAACCGGCAAAACGCTGAGCCACCGAAGCAGAGTGCAAACTCAACCACTCAGCCACAGGGCGGCCCCAAGAAAAAATTTAAGCCTACAGAACAGTTGAAAAATGTTAAAATAACCTCCACCTAGATTTTCCAATTAGCATTTTGCCACATTTGCTTTCTCTTTCTCTCTGATAGATAACAGACCTGTCTAACGTCAGCGTAAAGATGTCTATGCTAGGTAAACATACCCCTGTATGTGCAGTGTGTTGTTATTGTGCAGCCACTGGAAGTTCCAGGCATCCTGCTCCCTCACCCCTGACCCCTGCAGTCACCACTCCACATGTCTCCTAAGAACCAGGCTTCCCTCTCACGTCACCACAGACCATTTCCACGCACAAGAAACCGAGCGCTGACACAACATTATCTAATATAAAGTCCATTTTCGAATTTTCCCATTTGCCCCCATAATGTCCTTCATAGCTATTTTTTAATCCAGATTCCAGTCAAGGATGAGGCCCACCTCAATTTAACTTCTAGATTCACCAATCCACCCTGATCGTTCAAGATCAGGGTAACTTCTTCACTCATGACAAATCTAGAGGGTTGTTCTCCGGCCTTGGCAGGGGCTCACCCAGGGCGGTCTCCTCTGGGCTTCCGGGTCACGTTGCTTTCAGTTTCCCCCCTCCTTCCCTGCTCCTCCGCCTCTGCCAGGCCTCTGAATGTTGGAGGCCTCCAGGCCTTCGTGCTGGGCCCCTCCTCTCCCGCTCCCCGGTGGGTCTCATCTAGACCCATGGCTGTAACACCAGCTGCATGCTGGTGTCACCTACATTTCCAGCATGCAGGGCCATCCAGTCCCGACCCGTCTCCCTAATTCCAGACTCATGTACCCCACTGCCTTCTTCTCAGCGTCTCCCCTGGGACACGCCATCAACACCTCAAACTTAACAACTCCAGACAGAAGTCTCGATATCTTCCCCTTTCCCACCTCCGTTACAGCTTCACCATCACCAACCGCCTGTCCTGATTCCACCCTTCCGCCTCCGGCCCCGCCACCACTGGGTCCTGTCTGAACTCGTGTTCCATCTTCCCTGCCCCCCTGAAGCCTGGTCCACCATCAGCCGCCTGGAGTCACAGGAGCCTGCAAACTGCTCTCCACCCTCGCCCCGCCCCCACGATACATTTTCCAGCAGCGCTTATCTTTTACAAGTAATCCAGGTTGGGCCACTCCCTTTCCTAAAACCCTCCAACAGCTTCTCATTGTAATGAGAGAACACCCTGACGCAGCAGGGTTTATGAGGCCCTGGTGGTCTCGCCCTGCCCCTCTCTCCAACCTCTACCGCCATTCTTTCTGGTAACCCTAGCCTGGCCTCCTTTAGCTCCTTGAACGCGGAGGTTTTCCCATGCCGAGGCTTTTGTCTGTGCTGGCTGTTGCCTCTGCCTGCAACGCTCTCACCCTGGGTCTCAGTGGCTGCCCTCCCCTCGGCCTTCACGGCAGCCGAAGTGCCCTAAGCTCACCCCGCACACCTCCTGCTACCAGAGTCGGCTGCCCTCTCAGCTCAATGTCTTGGGAAGGACTCTGATTGGCTTAGCTGGTGTCACATGCACACCCTTCTCCCACCAACTTGTGGCCGGAGAGGGGGTCACTGGGCAGAAACATGGCTGCCAGGAGCTGCCCCAGTTCCCTCTGGGGTTGGAGGGCTGTGGAGGGGGAGCAGTTCTCAGAGAAGGGGGCTGGGAGATGGACCCCATCCACCATCTCTACATCTCTGCTCAGTCTTCAGTGCCCCCTGCCTCTCAGCAGTGCTTAACCTACCGGGGACCGCCCCTGTTAGTTTTCCAATAGAAGGTTGTTTCAGCAAAAAAAGGAAATACATAGTTACTGATAAAAGAGTTAAAAAGACGGAAAATAACGGGGAGCACCCCCCACGATTCCAGGAGCCGATGACAACCGTGGTTACTCAGCCTGCGTGGCTCTGTCGTGCTGTCTGGACACCCGCCTTCCGGCTTCCTCAGAGTGTCCTTCCCAGCTCTCTCTCCCATTGTTTTCAGCTCTCAGTCAGATCTCATCCATTGCAACAGCCTCAGCACGACTTTTATGATGGCGATTCCCTCACTGAAATCCTCTCCTGCCGATTTCTTAGCTCCACATTTGTATCTGGCTGCTGGTTGTGTCCACATGATGGCCGTGGGGTCTCAAACTGCAGGGTGTAACTCTCCATCCATACCCCGAAATCTCTTCCTTTCTCTTATTGAAGCCCTAAGTATGGCATCAACGTCCCCCCATGGTTAAAGACAGAAACTTTGAGGTTATCCACAGTTTCTCTCACCTCCTGCCTCCCTCACCTCTTACCCATCACTAATCCTATCCATTGTACAGGTAAAATACGGTCCCGCCCCATTTCCACCTTTCTGTCCTCACCTCCACAGCGTTGGTCCATCCTGTCTTGTGGGGACTAGCAGAACCTTCTCCTCACTCACTTCCTTGCTCTGGTGTCTGCCTCCCCCTCCCCACTCCCCCCCTACACTTTCATCACTTGTGATTCTCTCTCCAAATTGCTGCCAGAGGTAGCTTTCTTTTATTTTTTGTTTTTGGTGAGGAAGATTGTCCCTGAGCTAACATCTGTGCCAGTCTTCCTCTATTTTGTATTTGGGACACCCCACAGCATGGCTTGATGAGCAGTGTGTAGGTCCACACCCGCAAACCCTGGGTTGCCGAAGCAGAGCACGTGAACTTAACCATCATGCTGCCCAGCCGGCCTCCAGGGGTAACTTTTTTTTTTTAATAAACATTTTATTTTTCCTTTTTCTCCCCAAAGTCCCCCGGTACATAGTTGTATATTTTAGTTGTGGGTCCTTCCAGTTGCGGCATGTGGGACACCTACCAGAGCATGGCTTGATGAGCAGTGCCATGTCCACTCCCAGGATTCGAACCAGTGAAACCCTGAGCCGCAGCAGCAGAGCGTGCGGACTTAACCATTCGGCCATGGGGCTGGCCCCCCAGAGGTAACTTTCTTAAATGTCCATGTAATTATTCTGTTTTCCTCTTTCCAGTTTCTGTGCTGGCCCTCTGCTGCCTACAGCATAAAGCTCCAGCTTCTCAGCATGGCAGTTGAGGCCTCCGCCATCTGTCTGGGAGGAACTGACTGAAGACATTTCCAATTCTCACGAGATAGTCTGAGCACTGCCCCACCCACTGTCCTTCCAGAGCAGCCGTGATCCTGTCCATTTGCCGCTCTTCCCCATAAATGGGTCTTTGTGAAATTCTACCCCTTTGGCCAGACACCATCACTCCATCCCCATCCACCTGGAAAAACCCTTCATCCTTCAAGAGACTGCCCCTGCCTGGCGGTGACTGCTCTGTGACAGCCTCCCCGCGGAGTCCTGCTCCTCTGTGCTCCAGGAAAATGCAACTCACAGCAAGAATAGATAAAGAGGCATCATTTCCATAAGAATAAATGTAAAGAGGCTGGATTTCACCCCTCACTCCCGATCCTTCTCCCAAACAGTTAGACTGCCCCACGTGCCTACAGAAACGTTAAAGACTTTACACAACAATTCCTCCCACAAATCTGCCTCCAGAGACAGTGTGAGCGGGGCAGGGGGGCAGGCAGAGTGAGGGCTTCACCCATGCCCACCACCATCAACTCTGCCCTCCTTCGGGGAGGCCGAGGCCCACAGGGCCCCGGCCACACGGTGACTGTCATGGGTGCTGGGCACTTCTGCTTTCACGGGCCCTTTTCTCCAATCAAAAAGAATTTTTTTTTTCTACAGTCTTGTTGGTATAAAAGCAAACATAATGTAGGCTGCCTTCATTATCATTTTATTCATTACTATCATATTCATTTTTTTCTTCTGGTTTTAAAATAAAATTAAAACATTTTCAAGGGCCCCTGAAAGCATCGTGGGCCCAAGACACTGCGCCCTGAGGAGACCGCGCCCTGGGCCTGATGGAGCCGCTGACCCTGCCTGAGGGAAAAAGCCTGAAATTCCTTATGAGCTTTCACTGCTCTTGAGACTTTAGAGAAGAAATGCAGATTATGCTTTCTGCTACAATCTTATCAAGGTTTATTCCGTGCAGGGGAAAGTTACCATGGGACATACCATCAATATAACTGCCTGTTCTGAAGTGTGTCTTACACAAATGAGTCATAAATACAGAACAGCCCACTGAGGTTGGCATTCAATGCTGTTCTCTGCAAGGAGTTAGGATTGAGTTATGGGGGCCACTAGGGCTCCTGGGTTGTTATTATTGTTTATACTCCATTTACAGTTGAGGAAATTGAGACTCAGAGGAAGCCAGTAACTGGGCCAAGACGAAGCAAAGAACAAACGAAACAATGGCTCCAGGATTTCAGCCCCAGTCTGGGCTCTTTTGAGCTGCTTTGGACAGATTGAGTTTGAGGTGCCCGAGGGCCTTCTCGGGAGAAAGACATCCAGGAGGCATTTAGATAAACTAGTTCAAGGCTCAAGTGAGATCCTTAGCTCGTGACACAGATTTGGGAATTATCCGAGTGCTGGTGGCGTTTAAAGATTCCAAGTGGACCAGCTCTGTTGCAGTCTCTCTGCAGAATGGGGCCCAGGCCAACAGCGTCCTAGAATGGTTTCTGTGCCTTTAAGCTATCCTGAGTGGCCTCCTCCCTCGGGGAGCCGGGCTGCCCTGCTCCCTCCTTGCTCTCACTCCCTACTTGTTCCTGGGTACCCAGGCTTCTGGGAAACGCTTAGGGGGCGCCTTCTCCCCACAGGCCCTGGGCTACCAGGCGTGGGCTTCCATTTCCAGCCCTTCTGTTTCTCGCTGGATTAGATGACGGAACTCGACCTTCCTCTCTTTGATGCTTGATGCTCGCTATGGACCCAGCACCTGAGTGACATTCTATGTACTCACTCACCCAGTAAGTATTTACTGAGCACCTACTATGTGCCAGAAACCATTGTAGGTACTAAGGAGACAACTGTGAGCAAAGTAGACAAAGTCTCTTGACCCCAAGGAGCTTATAGTCTGGAGGCAGGAGGCAGAGAATAAACAAATCAGAATAGTAGCCATGGGTCACAAGGAACATAAAGCCACATAATTTGATGTGACTGAGGGCATGGGAGGGCTGGGGGGGAGGCTTGGTGGTGACACTGGTCAAGGCCGTCGGCAGGGAAGGACTCTCAGAGGGGGACATCTGAGCTGAGACCTGAATGAGGAGGAGGCACCAGCCGTGAGAAGATGGGGACAGGCAGGACCTTTCTGGCAGGAGCAGCAAGTCCTGAGGGGTCTTGGCATGTCTGGAAGGCCCACCTGATGGGACAGCGGAGGGGGGCTTGGAAAGGCAGGAAGAGCCGCAGGCGGGCAGGGGTCCCGCCCTGTTAGACAAGGCCCAGCCCAGGGTGGCCAAGGGTCAGCTGAGAGATGGGAAGGGAAAAATAGAAGTTGAGAGAAGACGACTCTTTCCTACGGAAGGAGAAAGGGAGAAAGAAGGAGCAAGAAAGAAGCAGGAGTGGGACTGGCAGCACAGCTTGCAGGGCCCCTTGTGAAAAAACCATCAAGAATTTTAAGATGGTGACAGCAGGGCCTTGAACCTAGCGTGGCTCTTCTGAGCGCCTGGTGCTGTGTGACTGAAGAGGACACAGCCCACGACGCAGTCCCAGGGCCCGGTGTAGACCCTCGGGAAGATGAAGTGGCAGAATCCAGGTCCCCCTTTCACCCCAGACTGAGCCAAACCTCACAGGCAGCACCGCCCACACAGGGTGAAACTGAGGATTAAAGTTTTCTATTTTCAGGAAAATGTTGCAGCTTGTTCAATGTTGCAAAACCAACACAATTTATGTAGCTGATTTCATGGACTTTCCATAGTTGTGTTACACTTCTGATAGTTGCAGCGTTTTCTTCTTCCTTGGGAGGTTCGGGATGGGGGATTGGGACAGTGCCTTTGGCCATCCCCCCCCCCCCCCCCCCCCCCCCCCCCCCCCCCCCCCCCCCCCCCCCCCCCCCCCCCCGCCCCAGTCTCCTCCCCTCTCTCCTCCACCTGGCAGGCAATAGGGGCAACCTCTGAGCAGGGCAGGCACAGTTGGTTGGAGCCAAGAATGTTTAAACTCCTATATTATGTCAAATATCATTTATATCAAGCCACTCCTCCTTAATCTTAGGCTAATTACTTTACGATTAACACTAGTCGTCTGACCTCGGTAAACCATTTGTCCTCTCTGAACTTCAGATTTCCTCCTCTGGAAAATGGAGATAATTGTACTTACACTTCACAGGGGTGCTGTGAGGATTAAATACACGAAAAGCTTTTTAAAGAGTATTAAGGTCTAAACAAATGCCAGTTAGAGTCACCACAGATCTGCTCAGCAGTTGCTCAGTTGGTGCAGATGGGGAACCTCGGGACAGCTACGGCTTGACAGAAACCTCTCTTGGCACCGTCCGACTCCAGGCTCTGGTGCATTCTTAACCATCAGCTTCTGCTCTCCAGTTTCTCAAGCAGCTTCCTTTCCTGGGGAGATCCCCACAGCTTGTCAGTTACGTCTTAGATCGCAGACCAATAATCCTGGTTCACATACCAGACTCTGGTGAGTTGGGCTGGCTTCCGAATTTTAATAGTCCCTAGATGAACCAAGAAGAATCCAGACACTGGACCTGAGGTTCAGAAGGAGACAGGTAATCATTCTTACTTATTTCTTAGTACATGGTGCACTTGGGTAATACTCTTTATTAAAGTGTGCTAAAGGTAGATATATTTATTACAAGAGTGAGCAGTGGTCCCATAAGCTAATATTTGTGATGCAGTGTTCCCCACGCTATGGGGTGGAGAGCATGGGCGTCCCCCATGACCCTCAGGCCTTTGCAGCGGCTGTTCCTTCCCTGCCCACCCTGTCTCCGAGAGCCCCTTGCCCTGCTCACCACCACCTTGCTATCCTCCCTACCCTGCTCAGTTCTTCCTGGCACAGGCCCGCCTGATACAAGTTTTATGGGTTTATCGTTGGAATCTCTCCATCCAAATGTGAGCTCCCAGAGATCTGTAAGCCCGTGTTCCAGGCCCAGGGCTCAGAGCCTTTGGCCAGCAATGAGATCCAGAGAGAACTTATAATATTCTTTTGTTTTCATTATATTTAAAAAAAAATACCGTTGTTCATGACAAATGTTTATTTTACATTTATAGCAGTGATATAAAATTTCCTTTAAAAATAAATTTAAGAATGTAATTTAAAAAGATCAAATAGGGGCCGGCCCAGTGGTGCAGCGGTTAAGTGCGCCTGTTCCGCTTAGGCGGCCCAGGGTTCACCAGTTCGGATCCCAGGTGCAGACACGGCACCGCTTGGCAAGCCATGCTGTGGTAGGTGTCCCACATATAAAGTAGAGGAAGATGGGCACGGATGTTAGCTCAGGGTCAGTCTTCCTTAGCAAAAAGAGGAGGATTGGCGGCAGATGTTAACTCAGCTAATCTTCCTCAAAAAAAAAAAAAAAAGAAGTAAATAATGGTGGTGCTCAGATGTCAGTATTTGGGAGGATGAAACAAAAACAGTGCTCTGTGGATGCCTTTTGGTGGCTCTGCCTGACCTGTAAACTCACTCTGGGAACTGCTTACTCCTAAGTCTGTGTGTGCGCACATGACATGCCCATATGATAGACACATTGAGGTTTGGGAAATAGGACACAGTCACGTCCTACAAGTGGACTAAGGAGCAGAGAGCAGGTCCTTAGAGAGACCGGGGGCGTGTGGTGAGCACACACTTCCCAGGGCTCTTCTGAGGCCTCTCTCCATTTCTGCCCTGGGGGTTCGTGAGACACCTCGGGTTCATCTCCTGTTTTCTCGTTTAAGGCAGCTTGAGCTGCCGATACCAGCAACCATAGCCCTGCACACCACGCTTCTGAAGTTAAACACAACTGTGTGTCAGTAGGTGTCTGTTGAGGGGGGTGGGGCAGAAGCAATTTAGTCATTCAGTTCTCATTTCTTTCTTTTCTCTTTTTCTCCCCAAAGCCCCAGTACATAGTTGTATATTTATATTCTAGTTGTGGATCCTTCTAGTTCTTCTCTGTGGGATGCCACCTCAGCATGGCCTGATAAGCTGTGCTAGGTCCACACCCAGGATCTGAACCAGCGAAACCCCGGGCTGCCCAAGTGGCGGAGTGTGCAAACTTAACCGCTGTGCCACCTGGCTGGCCCCAGTCCTCATTTATTGTGCACCAACATGGGCCAGGCGCTTTGCTACTCTGCTAAGTGTTGAGACTACAAAGTTCCCCCAAGGAACTCATCACTTAATGAGCTCCACTGAATGTCGGCCTTCATCACCCCATAAATGTTGAGTCATGGGAAGCAAGGCTGAGGAGGGTGTGGGGCTTACTGACAGCACACTAGGTATGCCAGGGCTTTCTCCCGTCCTGCTCATCCCCTTGGAGGTGTTTCTATAAAGCTTTAAAGTATGGCTCCTTCTAAGGATATTTTAAGTTTTAATGGAGAAATCCAAACTTAGAGAAAGGAAGGTGGGGAATGAATGAATGAATGGATGCAATTTGGGGCTCACCTCAGGGCCAAGCTTGAGCCTTTGGTCAAGGCTCCTGGCTACAGTGTCACAGGATCCCCCCACTGAAGCACGGAAACTGACTGTGGCTATTTCCTATAACTTGGTCATGCAAGCGCGACCACAGACTACAGTTGAGAGAAATGTCCAATCTTGAACCAAGAAATTCAGTGAAATAAAGGGAGGTGGCTGTGATGCACCATTTCAGTATTTTTACCTGTGAAATTCACCATTAGCACTTCTTCCACCTCTCAAACAAGTTTCCCAATCAACCTGCACACCAAATCAAGAAGCATACAAAAATCTGCAACGCATCAGTGCAGCCGGGCTCTGAAAATAGCAGCTGCAGCCACAAACCAAAGAACAGGCCTTTGTGAACTGAGTGAAAGAAGCTGTTTGTCCTGATCTCGTCTTTTAAGCCACAGATAGAACTCCCCACTATTAGTGAAGTAATGTCTTTAACCAAAGATAGGAATCAATTAGAGGAAAGTAGGATATCTTAGTACGTTGGATTTTCTTTTCCTACTAAGTTTTCAAAGCTCTAATTTTCCAACCAGAGCCCAAGAGAGTATGAACTTACACGAAGGCAGGTAGCGGGACCCATTGTAAAGCATAGGTTTGACAGCATTAGCAGGGGCCAGGCTCGAGGTGGAGCATACAAAATTGGGAGATGAATCACTTTCACGCTGCAAGAACCCATGCTCTCTTGGTGATCGTGTGACACCCTTGACCCTGGGCACTGCCTTCAGGAACACAGCTTCTCGCCAATAGCTCTGTGCACCTGTCTCAAATTAAACTGTCCCTTATTTTTCAAACAACATTGAATTTATCTCCTCGGCCAAATTAACACTACTTAGGAAGATCAGTCAGTTTCAGAAACACTTGTCTATTAGACTCGAATCTAAACCACACAACTTCCTGAGCAGTTTCATGTGTGGAACTACCTTCCCAGCCAACGCAGCACTTTTCTTGCATTAAGAATAGCAAGAGATACCATTTGGAGACAGACTGATGGTCCAGACAGTCTGTGTGTTTTTGAGTGACACTGAGGCCATACTTTAATCTACCCTGAGCATGCTTAATTGTCCTCGGCCCATCATTAGTGATTCCAAGGCTGAAAAATTATGCAAAGTCCCTTAGAGAGTTCAAGTTAGCTTGACAGATAAAATGTCAGAGAGAAAGGAAGAGAGTTCAGCAGATGGCAGAGAAGAAAAGGGAGCAGGGGGCAGGAAAAGGCTCATACTTTATACCTGCCCAAAGCCCACGCCAGGTGCTGGGGAGGTGAAATAAAAATGGTTCCTGTTGTTTTGAAATGCTTCAGAGACACCAAAGGAAGGCCTTTAGTGGGTCCTTTAAGTTAATATATCTGTTCTTCATTTCAAAAGGCAAATGAAATACCATTCCAGTGACTCAGTCTTCCCCACTTTTAAATAAATTCATTACAATGGAAAAGATGTGAGCTCTCTTCCTCTTTCCCTCCCACCTTTTATACTCATTAGATGAAGCCAGGCGAGATGGTGGATGTTAGCACAGAGGCGGGGGTGGGTGGCCCTGAGGGGGTTGGACCCAGGGCAGGCTGAGGAGGGGGTGTGTGTGACGGAGTGGTGGCAACAGTGGCCTGGAGTGGGGTTTCAGAGCCCGAGAGAGGTGAGGAGGGCATCCATGAATAGGTGGTGGCAAAAGAATGGTTATATAAGAGGTGATGGGCCTGATACAGTGAGGATCATGGGTGTTTACAATTGCTGGAAAAGGGGAACTACAAGTACAGAGAGGAAGAATAAAAACTAGAATAAATCCTGTGGTGTTGGATTAGAATCAAAGGTATTGATCTGAACTGATGATTTTCAATATATGTGTAAGTATAGAAACATAGGGGGCTGCCCTGTGGCCGAGTGGCTAAGTTCGCGAGCTCCGCTTCGGTGGCCCAGGGTTTCACCGCTTTGGATCCTTGGCACGGACATGGCACCGCTCATCAAGCTATCCCATCACATAGCACAACCACAGACACTCAAAACTAGAATATACAACTATGTACTCACAGGGCTTTGGGGAAAAAAATTAAAAAAAAAAAGATTGGCAACAGTTGTTAGCTCAGGTGCCAATCTTTTTTTCCCAAAGCTTTTATTTTTCTTTTTTTCTCCCCAATACAGCAATAGATGCTGAAACTACGGGGAAAAGTGGATGAGGAATGGGATATTTATATAGTCTCAAAGCACTCCCTACAAAATAATCACCTTTCAGTGGAGAAACACAGCAGACATCACCT